CTCCTCAGGGTGAATCTGTCCATGGCTCTTCAGCTGTTCATTGTAGAGGACTCAGGTGGTATCAACACAAAGTTCTCTTATGTCAGGATCAAGCCATAGCAGAGACCAGCACCACGGTCTCACTTCCCCATGTGTGCTTGACACGAAGTCCTCTCCTCTCATTTGGCTCCCTTCTGCTGGCCAGAGTTCTTCTTCCTCCATGGATCTTGCAGCGCTGAAGAGAAACAGAGTCTTCCCTCTAGGATTCCCTGGGGGGGAATTCCCAGAGCATTTTTCTGGTAAATCTTTGTTCTCTCTCTACTTCCCCAGATTTGCCATCATAATCATTTGAATACTGTGACCAGGGATCTTGCCTAGGAGTCTGTTCTCCGAGCACCGAATGCCAGTCTGCAGGGGATCCTGGCAAATGACTTTGGAATGTTTCTCTCATGAGCAAAAAGAGCAGAGATGCTCAGTCTTTGAAAATGGGAAGAATTAAAACTTTAACTTGGTTTGACCAGAGTCTCGAACTCCTGTCCTCAAGTGAGTCTGATACATGGTAGCTTAGTATTGAGTACCCCAACTATGATCTCCAGGGAAAAATTATGGTTCAAATTCATTAGTGAGTGTTGTGGGGGTGGCTTAAAGATAATATAAATTATTCCGTATTGTTGTGCAATGATTGTATAATGATAGAAATTGATCTGTAATGACATCTAGAATATAACAAACTAAAAACAATAAGCTTAAGAAAAAAAGATAATTCTGTTGATCAGAATAAAAAATGAAACAGGTTGTGTCTGTGGCTGCATGAGCTCTGGCATGATGCACCTTGTACTCTTAACAAATATTTGTTTGGGGAATTTTATGAGGATGGAGAAAAACAGCAGGATGGTTATGTTTCTAATTGCACTGGCGAATGGATCACCGGGCAGTTGTAGTACAATGAGATTTTAAATGCTCTATTTCAACAACGGAATACTGAGAGCTAATATAGACATTTAAATAAAACTAATCCATAGATGTAACTGAAATAAAATGTATGCTATATTTTGGGATTGCATTTCTTTTTTGTTTGTTTTTATACTTTAAGTTCTGGGGTACATGTGCAGAATGTGCAATTTTGTTACACAGGTATACATGTGCCATGGCGGTTTGCTGCACCCATCAACTCATCACCTACGTTAGGTATTTCTCCTAATGCGATCCCTCCTCTAGCCCCTCCGCCGCTCAACAGCCCCTGATGTGTGCTGTTCCCCTCCCTGTGTCCATGTGTTCTCATTGTTCAACTCCCATTTATGAGTGAGAACATGCGGTATTTGATTTTCCTTTCTTGTGTGTGTTTACTGAGAATGACAGTTTTCAGCTTCATCCATGTCCCTGCAAAGGGCATGAACTCATCCGCTTTTATGGCTACATAGCATTCTATGGTGTATATGTGCCACATTTGCTTTATCTAGTCTATGATTGATGGACATTTGAGTTGGTTCCAAGTCTTTGCTATTGTGAATAGTGTTGCTGAGACATATGCCGTGATATGCCACCATGGCACGTGTATTCCTACGTAACAAAACTGCATGTTCTGCACATGTACCCAAGAACTTAAGGTGTAATTTTTAAAAAGAAAAAAAAATGCAATTAAAAAAGATTTAACTTTTCATTAATTTTTATAAATCATTTACATTATACAAATGACAAGGGATGAGCAAAGAAACTTAACAGCAACTAAAAGACATTAATCTGTATTAGGATGTGGAGAAAAAGATCAGGGCTGAAGCAACAATGACATAACCGTTCTCTGCATAGTCTCTTTCTCTCACCTGTACAGAGAAGGGAGAAAGGGGAGGGCCAGACTAGTGCAAGATGTCCCTAGAGCTGCTTCCTGAATCCCAGGAGTGAGGACACAACTGCCCTGAAGATCTCTGATCTTCTGCCACTATTATGAAGTGGAAATTGTTCATTTTAATGTCATCCTCCTTGTGTGTTCCTAAGTTCACTGAAGTCTTGGCATGAGAATCAGATGCACTTGGGATGAAGGAAAGGGTGGTAATCACGGGCCTGACAAAGCGGGGGAGAGAGCTGGATGCTGAGCATCCTCTGCACACTGAGAAGTCACAGGCACAGTCACATTCCACTGTAGGAAAGACTCTGTTTGCTCAACATTTCTGGAGCCACGATGACCCGCATCCTCTGAATCTCAGGAGGAATGAACCGTTCAGAGACAGGCTCGAACAAGCATTTGGATGGAAGGTGACCTCACTGACTCCTGGAGCTGCTCAGTGGAGCTGGGGTTCGGGCATGCTGGGCCAACCAGCTGATGAGAAGATCTCAGACCACACAGATCTCTAAGTCAGGCCTAGGCCATGGGTTGGAAATGTGATATGGTTTGAATATCCCCTCCAAAACTCATGGTAAAATTTAATTGTCATTGTAAAAGTAGTTAGAGGCACCTTTAAGAGGTGATTAGGTCATGAGGGTTCCACCATCTTTCTCGTAAGAATATATCTAGAACTTTGCTAGACCTTTTTATTCCACAAGGGCGTCTAAAATGCCAATCCATGGAACAGGTGCTTCTCTTCTCCTATCCATCTAGGCAGTAGTTTTCATGGATTTCTGGCTGGATGTCACAGACAAAGGCCAAGAGGTTGTTCAAGACTTCTTCCCTGTTCTGCTGGAAGTAGGTCTGGAGGATGGCCATTTTATTCTGGGTCTCCTTATCCACTTCAGTGCTGCAACTGCCATGAGATCCCATTGCTGCAGCTTCCTTAGCCTTGAACCCTCTTTCTCCGCGGGTAGCACTGTTCAGTTTCAGCCTGAAGTGCTTCCTTGGCCTGCTTCAGCCTCTTGTTGTTTTGCTTGTGGGCCTCCGACACCTTCTCAGGAGCCCTCTTCTCAGCCTTCAGCAGCTGCTAGATCTGCAACTGACTGGCCATGGCGACAGTGAATCTGAGATCAAGGCAAGTGGCCTAAATCAGTTCAAAGGACCCTGGGGTTAGCCGACCCATCCAACCACAATCTGCACCTGCACCCTGCCGCCTCTCATTTCTTGCAAGTAAGTCACCACCACAGAGACAAAATGTTAGAAGTTATAGCACAAAGTGAGCACATGAGTATTTTAAAAACCTTTTAAAATATCTTATAAGATTTTACACAGTACATAATACATTCATATGTCACATATCAACAGATCTATTTGGACAGTCAGATTTCTTTCAGATTAAAAATGAAGTTGGCATTTTTTTAGAAGGTATTTTAAACCTATTATGGGAGTTTCTATAGTGTGGAACAATACTATATAAAGCAGTATTTTGTTGGCCGGGCGCGGTGGCTCAAGCCTGTAATCCCAGCACTTTGGGAGGCCGAGGCGGGTGGATCACAAGGTCAAGAGATCGAGACCATCCTGGTCAACACGGTGAAACCCCGTCTCTACTAAAAATACAAAAAATTAGCTGGGCATGGTGGCGCGTGCCTGTAATCCCAGCTACTCAGGAGGCTGAGGCAGGAGAATTGCCTGAACCCAGGAGGCGGAGGTTGCGGTGAGCCAAGATCGCGCCATTGCACTCCAGCCTGGGTAACAAGAGCGAAACTCTGTGTCAAAAAAAAAAAAAAAAAAGCAGTATTTTATGTGTGTCATTAAAAAGTCAAATAAGAAACTAGATCCAGCTGAGAAAAACACTGACTTCATTTACTTTTGTTTTATTTATATCTGACACAGATTATAAATGATTTGCTGTGTCTTGCAGATACCCTTAACTGAGAAAAACAGATATTTGTAGATATACATTACAATTTAGATTACCTTTGTATACTCACATTTATTTAAAAAGGAATTAGTAAGAGGAGCCTGTTAAATGTTGGCAAATCTAAGAGTGCTCAATTTGACTGTCCATCCTAGCACTCACAGAACTTAACTCTGGTGCCCACTAGACGCAAAGAATCTTGAATTTTAAATGATTATCAGTACACCAAGTAGTAGTATGTAATAAATTCTTGAATTCTATTATCTAGTAATTTTTTTTTTTTTAGACAGTCTTGCTCTGTCACCCAGGCTGGAGTGCAGTGTCATTCATGTATATATATATAGCACCTGATATAGGAGTACATGGCACAGAGTGGATGTTCAATAAATATTTGTTAAAAATTAAACATTTTCTCCAATAAGTAAATAAAACACCTTAAATGGCATGAGACACCAACTGTTTCATCATGCAACACTGGGAGCTTCTTGCAAGCATTCTCAAACTACTTATCATAAATGGATCAAAAGTTAAACAAAACTGAGCTCTTCCAAAACTAAAGAAGTTCTCATAACGGAAAAAAAGGCAGCAACATTTTATTCTGCAAATGTAATACGTAACATTAACAACATAAACTAAATGAAAGCCACCACAATACTAAGACAATTCCAATTTTGCTTAGTCTTGCTCTGGCCATTTTTTTACATATAGCCATTCTCATTTCTCTTTTTTAGAGATAATTACTATATTTTTTTTCAGTTTTTATTTTGGTAGTTTTGGGGGAACAGGGGGTGTTTGTTTGCATGGAAAAGTTCTTTGGTGGTGATTTGAGATTTTGATGCACCCATCACCCAAGCAGTGTACACTGTACCCAATATGCAGTATTTTCTTCATCACCCCCCACACGCTCTTTCCCTCAAGTCCCCAAAGTCCATTATGTCATTCTTACGCCTTTGCATCTTCAAAGCTTAGCTCCCTCTTACAAGTGAGAACATGTAATGTTTGGTTTTCTATTCCTGAGTTTCTTCATTTGCAATAATGGTCTCCAACTCCACCCAGGTTGCTGCTCCACCCAGGTTGCTGCATGGTATACGTATATATTATGAAATTCTACTCAAATGTGTAAGGGAATGAAATAATGCCATGATATTAGAAGAAAAAATCTTATGTATATATATTTATATATATGTATATATTTGTATATTTATATATAAATATGTATTTATATATGTTTATATATGAAGCTTATATATATATATATATATCACATTTTCTTTTTTTGAAGGGGAAACAATTTAATTTTATGCTTTAAATTCATATATACATAAATTTGTCTTTAGGTTATCAATATTTAACTTGGGCAGTACTTCATCTTGATTTATTTGGAGAAATACACCTTAGCCATCTGCTTACCTGCTTAGGCATCAAAAGAGGTGCCAATTAGAAAATAGGGCATTAACAAAATTTTTTAACTGAGCCACATGCCTTTTAAACTTGCTGGCCGGGCGTGGTCGCTCATGCCTGTAATCCAAGCACTTTGGAGGCCAAGGTAGGCAGATCACATGAGGTCGGGAGTTCAAGACCAGCCTGACCAACATGGTGAAACTCCATCTTAAAAAAAAATAATAATAATAAATAATAAATAAACTTGCTTTTGGTTTCACTTATATTTAAGCATTTACTCTTAAGGTTGGCAAAACATGTTATCAATGTATTATGCAGGAGTTTGTCTTTTGCATAAGTAGTGTCGTTGGTTTGCCACCCACCCTTGACCAAGAAAAACCAAACCCCACTGGTACCAAACTCTAAACCACCTGGATCCTAGGTTAGAAGATTGTGAAAGCCAAAAATCTGTAAGGTTGGAGGGGCCCTTTAGTTAATCTTTGGGCTTAGAGGAGGAAAAACATATAGTCCTATACTGCATTTCACATCTCTTAAAAATAGTTTTAGCAGCTTAAACCTTTTTAGTTATAAAACTTATCACACTAGGATTTGCTTTGAAATATAGTTTACAACCAAATCAAGTATAATATACATACACTGGCACTTCAGCACAAGGGCACACTTAAAAAACAAATTATTATGGACCTTTAAAACTAGGCCATACTATAAAAAACAGTCCACGGTCTTACATTCAGCAAATTCCTACTAAAATATCCCATTTTTGTAAGATAAAGGCCAAGAAAACTTTACATATGCTACAAGTTCATTACACGTATTTACATGGCTCTTTCTCCCCTAGGTAATTAAAATTTTCACATTATACAGCTCCCCAAAGCCAGCTTTGCAGGAAGGATGAGGCCAGATCACTTAGAATAGCTTGTGCAGTGCTGTAATACAAAAGTGTATTTTGACTTTCTGCCTCCGCTGCCGCCATGGCTCCCGTGAGAAAGCTTGTGGCGAAGGGGGGCGAAAAAAAGAAGCAGGTTCTGAAATTCACTCTTGATCGCACCCACCCTGTAGAAGATGGAATCATGGATGCTGCCAATTTTGAGCAGTTTTTGCAAGAAAGGATCAAAGTGAACGGAAAAGCCAGGAACCTTGGTGGAGGGTGGTAACCATCGAAAGGAGCAAGAGCAAGATCACCGTGACATCTGAGGTGCCTTTCTCCAAAAGGTATTTGAAATATCGCACCGAAAAATATTTGAAGAAGAATAATCTACGTGATTGGTTGCACATAGTTGCTAATAGCAAAGAGAGTTACAAATTACGTTGCTTCCAGATTAACCAGGACGAACAAGAGGAGGAAGACAAGGATTAAATTTCATTTATCTGGAATATTGTGTATGTGTTCTTTAATAAAACTTAGGAACCAAAAAAAAAATGTATTTTGAAAGCTATTGAGTGACCATTAAATACTGGTAAAAAATAGTTTTGATGTATTTGTTGGCAGACACTTAATCCACTACATTTAATAAACAGGACCATTGGGGTGTACTATGTCTCATTCTAATGAGCTCCAAATGTCCTTTCCACCCACTGTATAATTCACTAAAATACAATTATTAAGAAAAATTCACATTTTCTTTCAGCAGTGCATCAGATTGTCAGCATATTACAGATTTGGGTGTTTCCGGTATACTAAACTTGCAGGTGTTTACCTAAATCTGACTCCTTGTGTTAGACGCTTATCATGTGATTCACCAACACAACAGTCTGGTCCATGAATGATAAATTCCTGTCTTCTTCTAACAATAGAAAAAGCTGATTCCTTTACCACTCCCCAAATCTAAACTTGGCTGGTTTCCTAAAAGTTACTCAGTTGAGAACACTTAATATCAAGTACAATTGTTAATTTAGTTTTCAGTTGCGCTGATACCACCATTACGTCACAGTGCACACAACACATACGCGAGATGCAGTCTATATTTTTTACATTAATTAGCAGTTCTACACAAATAGATCAACTCCCTGGCGAATTCGTTTCAGACCAATTGACAACTATCCATAAACATAACTAAATTTCAGCATAAGTACTTTGTCTTTTTTTATACCTGTACTTTAAGTAAGGCTCTAAGTTGAAATATCGTTATTTCCTTCTCTGAAGGATTAAAGGACACAGGGACCCAGTGGCTTGGTGGTTTGGGAAGAACACTTGATGATGGCGGCTCGCTAAGCTCGGCACCAGCATAGTTCTGAATAGCTTGAGATTTGAAAAGTAAGCTGGGACCTGATAAGCTAGAGTTCCAACTTTGATTATTTGGAAAATTTTTGTTCTTTCCGCCGTTTTGCGTGGCCTGCCAAGCAGCTGCTGATGCGTTATAACCATGTCCTCTTTCATTTTTTCTTATGAACAATCTTCATCTGGGAATTCTGATCCTTGGTCTTCTGTCTGTTAAGCTGTTGTTGGTTCTTACTAACATTTCCAGATTGAGGCGCTGGAATGCTATACCTCTCTCCACCACCCATCTTCAGCTTCTTTGTCACCTTTCAGTCTGCTTTTCAGAATGCAGGATTTCCAATACCTGTCCTCTTCCTTGCTGCCAAGCCCAAGATAAGAAGTGCTGCTTTCTAACAGATCCTTTCCCTTGTCTCAATACAGAAGTTTTCATGGGCCGATCTGCTGAGTTCACCCTAGGAGATGAGGCCCACATCTGTCTCCTCAGCACACAAGTTTGAGAGAAGTCCTAGCGACTTCAAGCTCGGAACTACGGCGGCAGCGGCTCCCTGTCGACGTCGAAGCCTCCCTCCCTTTCCAGGGAGAGACGAGGCACGGACCGACAAAGCCCGCGAGCACCGATGAGTGCGCTGCCGGCCACTCCAGCTTCTACAACCCGACCTCCTCCTCCTTCCTCTACCGACCCACATTTTCTTTATGCACTCGTTGGTTAATAGGCATTTATGCTGGTTCCATATTTTTGCAATTGCAAACTGTGCTGCTGTAAACATGTGTGCAAGTATCTTTTTTATTTAATAATGCATTTTCCTCTAGGTATATACCTGTATCCTCTAGCTATATTTCCTCTAGTAACCCCAGTAGTGGGATTACTGAAAGAAATAGTAGTTCTATTTTTAGATCTTTAAGAAATCACCATACTGTTTTCCATAGTGGTTGTACTAGTTTACATTCCCACCAGCAGGGTAAGAGTGCTCCCTTTACATCATATCCATGCCCACATCTGCCATTTTTTAATTTTCTTAATTGTGGCCATTTGTAGAGGAGTAAGGTGGTATCTCATTGTGGTCTTGATGTGCAGTTCCCTGATGATTAGTGATGTTGAGCATGTTTTCATTTGTATATTTCATTGGTCATTTGTATATCTTCTTTTGAGAATCGTCTATTCATGTCCTTTGCCCACTTTTTGATGTGATTGCTTATTCTTGCCGGTTTGTTTGAGCTCCTCATAGAATCCGGATATTAGTCCTTCGTCAGATGAATAGTGTGCAAATATTTCCTCCCAATCTGTGGGTCGTCTCTTTACTTTGCTTATTATTTCTTTTTCTGTGAATAAGCTTTCTAGCTTAATTTAGTCCTATCTACTTATCTTTGTTTTTGTTCAATTCATTTTTTAGTTCTTGGTCATGAAGTCTTTGCCTTAGTCAATGACTAGAATAATTTGTCTAATGCTATGTTCTAGAATTGTTATGGTTTCAGGGCTTAGATTTAAATCTCTGATTCATCTTGAGTTGATTTTTGTAAAAAGTGAGAGATGAGGATCCAGCTTTTTTCTTCTCCATGTGATTTACAAATTATCTAGTACCATTTGTTGAATATAGTGTCCTCTCCCCACTTTATATTTGTATTTGCTTGGTCAAAGTTCAGTTGACTACAAGTATTTGGTTTTATGTCTGGTTCTCTACTCTGTTCCATTTGTCTATGTGCCTATTTTTATAACAGTACCATGCTGTTTTGGTAACTCTAGCCTTGTAATACAGTTTGCAGTGGGTAATATGATGCTTCCAGATTTGTTTTTTTTTTTGTTTGCTTTTTGCTTTTTTTGTTTGTTTAGTCTTGCTTTGGCTACATGAGCTGTTTTTGGTTCCATATAAATTTTAGGATTGTTTTTCCTAGTACTGTGAAGAACAATGATGATATCTCGATGGGAATTGCATTGAAGTATATTGCTTTCAGCAGTGTGGTCGTTTTCACGATATTGATTCTACCCATCAATGAGCATGGGAGGTGTTTGCACGTGTTTGTGTTGTTTATGATATCTTTCAGCAGTGTCTCATAGTTTTCCTGTTAGAGATCTTTCACCTCCTTGTTTAGGTATATTCCTAAGTATTTTATTTTTGCAGCTATTGTAAAAGAGGTTGAGTTCTTGATTTGATTCTTAGCTTGGTCACTGTAGGTGTATAACTGTGCTACTGATTTGTGTACATTGATTTTGTATCCTGAAACTTTACTGAATTCATGTATCAGATCTAAGAACTTTTTGGATGAGTCTTTAGGGTTTTCTACATATACAGCCATATCAACAGTGAACAGCAACAGTTTGACTTCCTCTTTACCTATTTAGATGCCTTTATTTGTTTCTCTTGTCTAATTGCTCTGGCCAAAACTTCCAGTACAATGTTGAGTAGAAGAGGTGAAAGCAGACATTCTTTGTTTGTTCCAGTTATTACTTATTAGGGGAAATGCTTTTGACTTTCTCTGTCCAGTATAATGTTGACTATGGGTTTGTCATAGATGGCTTTTATTATCTTGAGGTACGTCCCTTTCATGCTAGTTTTTTTGGGGGTTTTAATCATATATGGATCCTGGATTTTGTCAAAATTTTTTGGCATCAATTCAACTGATCATACTTTTAAATTTTTAATTCTTTTTATGTGATTAATTACATTTATTGACTTGCATATGTTAAACCATCCCTTCATCCCCGGCTTGAAACCCACGTGATCGTAATGTATTATCTTTTTGATATAATGTTGGACTCAGCTAATCTTTTGTGGAAGATTTTTGCATCTGAATGTTCATCAGGGTCTGTAGACCTATGAGTCTGAACTATTGGTCTGTAGTTTTCTTTTTTGTGTTATGTTCTTTCCTGGTTTGGTCTTAAGGTGGTACTGGCTTCATAGAATGATTTACGGAGGATTTCCTCTTTCTTTATCTTTTGAAATAGTTTCAGTAAGATTGGTACCAATTCTTCTTTGAATGCCTGATAGAATTCAGCTGTGAATCCAACTGGTCCTGGATATTTTTATCACTGGCTATTTTTTTACTACTGTTTCAGTCTCACTACTTGTTATCAGTCTGTTCAGCTTCTTTCTTTCTTTCTGTTTTTTTGATAGGGTCTCACTCTGTTGCCCAGGCTGGTGTACAGTGGCTAATCTGAGCTCACTGCAACCTCTGCCTTAAGCTCAAGTGAGTATCCTGCCTCAGCCTCCTGAGTAGATGGGATTAAAAGTGTGCACCACCGCACCCAGCTAATTTTTTGCATTTTTAGTAGAGACAGGGTTTTATTGTGTTGGCCAGGCTGAGCTCAAACTCCTGGCCTCAAGTGATCTGCCCACCTCAGTCTCCTAAAGTGCGGGGATTACAGGTGTGAGCCACTGTGACCAGCCCAGAGTTTCTATTTATTTGTGATTTAATGCAGGAGGGTTGTATATTTCTAGGAATTTATCCATCTCCTCAAGATTTTTCTAGTTTGTGTGCATAAGTGTATTCATAGTAGCCTTGAATATCTTTTGTTTTTCTGTGATATTGTGATATTTCCCATTTCATTTCTAATTAAGTTTATTTGGATCTTCTCTCTTTTTTTCTCAGTTAATCTCACTAATGGTCTATCAATTTTGTCTATCTCTTCAAAGAACCAGTCTTTGTTTCATTTATCTTTTGTATTTTTTGTTTCAATCTTATTTAGTTCTGCTCTGATCTTTGTTATTTCTTTTCTTCTTCTGGGTTTGGACTTGGTTGGTTCTTGTTTCCCTACCTTCTTGAGGTGTGACCTTAGATTGCCTGTTCATGCTGTTTCAGACTATTTAATGCTATGAACTTTCCTCTTAGTTTTGCTGTCTCCCAGAAGTTTTAATAGGTTATGTCACTATGATTGTTCATTTCAAACAATTTTTTAATTTCCTTCTTCATTTCGTTGTTGATTCAAAGGTCATTCAGGAGAAGATTATTCAATTTTCATGTATTTGTATAGTTTTAAGGATTCCTTTTGAGGTTAATTTCCAGTTTTATTCCATTGTGGTCTGAAAGGGTACCTGATATAATTTCAATTTTCTTAAATTTATTGAGACTTGCTTTGTGGCCTACCATATGATTTGTCTTGGAGTATGTTCCATGTGCTGATGAAAATATGGTATATTCTGAAGTTGTTAGGCAGAATGTTCTGTAAGTGTCTGCTAAGTCCATTTGATCTAGAATATAGTTTAAGTCCATGGTTTCTTTATTTACTTTCTGTCTTAATGACCTGTCTAGTGCTGTCAATGGAGTATTGAAGTCCCCTACTATTATTGTGTTGTCATCTCTCTCATCTCTTAGGTCTAGTAATAATTGTTTTATAAATTTAGGAGCTCCAGCATTAGGTGCATATATATCTATGATTGTGATATTGTTCTGTTGGACTGATCCTTCTATCATCATATAATGTCTTTCTTTGTCTTTTATAACTGTTGTAACTGTTGCTGCTTTAAAGTCTGTTTTGTCTGACATAAAAATTGAGGAACGTCAAAAGATATTCCTCAATCTACAACCAGACAGGCATCCGAGCAGTGAGAACAAGCACAAATCTATGAGGAGAAACAGTGCTCATGAGTGTTTGAGCAAACTGCTTGCTTTTTAGTTCTTGAATACTGAAAATTATTTTTGGCTGATTTGGACTCTGGAACAGTCTATTCATGGTACTTATTTGTTATTCTATCAGTTCTAAGTTGAATGCAAGACTCCAATGTCCTCGTCATTTGCAATATTTTAATGATGCTCCACAGCCTGACTTACAGCCCTGTTAATATTTAATAGCCTTTGATCCTGTTCCAGCTCACAAATTGAGCCCTGAACCCTTCCGTTTTTCCCACGAACCATTATTAACCGAAATCTCGCAGTGGGAAACCAGTCTTTTAGAGTGGGTTTACTTAAATTACCCACGGCCACAGCCCAAGCATAAGATATTCTGGGTAGATGTTCCCCAATAAAGACTTCATTCAGTGCTCTCATTTACAGATGTCAGAGTCCTGAAGCCTCAGATCTTTCACCGTCAACTATTTCAATGTTAAGGGCTCTACTCTGTTGATTCAAATTTAGTTGCTGTCTATGATGTCCCACAGGATTGGAGTTTATGCCACTTGCTTCAAGGTATGACCGATCACTGCCTCCGTACTGAACTCACTGCTATAGGCCTTTGGTAAGGCTTCTGGGAAGAAATGCGTATATTGAACAGGCCAACATAAGTAACCCTCAGGTGGTTGTGGATCCGGCTTTACCCCATAACTGGTTTAAATTTGTACGAGACTTGACTCACTGGCAAAAGCATTGCACCATCACCTCCTGCCGCTGATAGCATCCGCCCAATAGACAGCTTCTGTGTCATATTCACTGCTCTCTGCTAGATAAACCTCAACTTTGGTATCCCATAATCTAGAATACATTACACATCTTTGCTGCAAATATGATGTGGTTCAATTATTCCACTCTAGCTACGGTCTTTCAATGCAAGCAGTTGCTTCTAGTCTTCCTCCAGGAGCTCTTCCTAATGGTACCACTGCTGTTGGATAGCCTACTGGGTGGCTTTAGCCACCACCATCTGGGAGGGGTGGAAACCATCATTAGGGTGGCTGCCACAGCTCACCAACTCACATGGCTGCATCTGCCCCAGATGCCAATGGCCACCACAGTTGCCACTGGGTCGTGTAGGAAGGGCATTCTATGCCCGAGTTT